TGCAATGACATCCTTGGAGCTGCAGCCCAGGGTTGTGAGCAACAACGGGTGACCCTGATGTGATACATCTGAAGAGACCCTGAGGACCCCGACTCCCTTGCCTGAGCTGAGAGCCAGAGAAAGAGTCCTTCGGTAAAGAAGGTAAAGCTGCAAGCCCTGATGTGATATTTGTGGGAGGGAAGTGTGCTGGAGTTGGAATGAATGGACTGGGTCTCTGCTCACTGTAAAGCCTTCTTGAAAACACCTTTGAAAAAAAAAAAAAACCTGTAAAACAAAAAGAGGGAGTTATGGCATCCAATTATTATTACCCAGCTGGCATGAATTTAACTAAGGTTTAGACTCTGCCTACAGAAGGCCAGCCACTTCCTCCTGGCTGCGGAAGATGTAATGGCATCCTTGGAGCTGCAGCCCAGGCTGGTGAGCAACAGAAAACTAAGCTCAAAATTAAGTGATTCACCTTAAGCTGAAAAAAAAAAACCAAAACCAGGAAGGAACTGTGTATAGGCTTCCAGTAAGGTCCACTAAGAACTGACAAAATCTACCTCCTCAATCTTATCTGTCTATCTATCATTTATCTGCTTACCTACATGTCTTCTTATCTATTTGTCAGATTGAGGCTTCAGAGTATAGTATATTTATTGGGTAACATGATCTGTGCATCACCGAATACTCTACCACCAGATCTAATAACTAATGGAAGACAATAAAGACAACAAAAGAGTGTCCACAGTGTTAAGCCAAATAAGCTCATTATATACAGGGGAAAGATTTGCCCTACTATGAAAGATGGCACTAATTTGATTAAACTACTTAATTTTGAAATTCGAATAATTTTATGTGCATAGTAAAGCACAGAGAAACATCAGGACCAACTAATCAACAGCGTCTGCCACAGTTCTTTTCATTGCAGAGATATGAAGATATGATGTATGCTTTAAATGTCTCTGCAAGTAGTAAAATGTTTTGGATCTAGAAAAAGATTGAACACTCATAGGATGCACACTGCAGGTATAAGTCTGAATTTTCTATGCACATCTTCAGCTTTACACACTGAAAAATATTCCGCGCTGGTTTACAATGAATATTTTCTAAGACATTAAGACAACCCAACACACTAATATATCTTCACATAATATGATACCTGCTAAATCTTAATTAGCTGCAAAAAATCAGAAAGAAACAAAGCTCCAAGCTCATGTGCCTTCCATAGCCACTTGAAAAGTATCGAGATGCAATAAGGGTTGAAAATTAACTTTCCACTCCTGTTTGACTCCCTGCTGTGAGCAACTATGCTCCACACACTTCCTATTTTCTCTATTACCTTGAGATTAGAGCTACAGAGCTCTAATTAGATATTAGAGCTGTATTTGATAAAGATTCTGCAAGAAAAAAGTGCTAGAACAACTCAAACTGCAAAGAGCATGCTGCAGACAAAACCCCACCTCTAACTCCTGCTGGCAGACCAGTTGATGTACCTGCCCTTTACTCAGGGTTATGTCTAAACCCACAGATTACTGCACAATGCATAACTATATCTATCTTTACTATAGCATGCTTCACAACAGATTTACTTCACAAATATATAACATACAATAATGAATGTTTCTGAAAAAACCAGATTATCAGAGTTCATTTACTTTGCTTTTTTTTAATATTTATTTTATATTTATCGACTCCTCTGTATATTTCAGTTTGTAAAATGTCATATGGACATTTAACCTCACTTAAATATTGCTTAATATTTCTACGAATTCTTAAGAATTATTCTCAGTTATAATAAAGATTTAATTTAAAATGTATCTGTTTCTTAAACCCCTAAAACACTTAACACTTGCACATACACGAATGCACATTTAAAACTGGTAAGATACATTTTTTTGGCTTTTATTCAGATAGAATTATCTATAAGGAGTTTGAGAAGCAGATTATTTTCGACAAACAAGGTATAAACCAAAATTTAATATGACACTTGCTACTCTATGTCAATCTGTACCTCTTGGCTTTTCTAAAATCTCTTTTTTTCGATGAAAGTGTTTAAACCTCATCATAAATAGCCAAAAGACTTATGCAAAATTGTAATGGTTAAGATATTGTCTTAGAAAAAAGGGAAAAAACTTGATGTTCTTACCAGTTTTCTATACGCCTTTGAGTGTGCAAGTCTACACCTTTATTACTATCTTTTTCTTTTGAATTGAAATTCCAACAGTCCATTTAAATCCCATTGAGAGATTTAGCATATTAACACATATTAAACCAAACAACTGCAGTAAGATTATAAAAGACTAAAATCTGATCACTGTTGCACAGCCAAAGCTTAAAAGTACTATAAATATGACTATTGTTAGCTTGTGTATGTGGAAGGCGGTATGATGAAGGCTCTGAAGAATGAAGCATGATTTGCAGCACAGATTTCTGACAGAAAAAGCACAAAAGCACTCTGAGAAGAGGAATAGTGCAAGGAAGTAATCTTTCAGCCTGCACTAACTTGTTCATCAGAATGTCATCTTTATTAAGTCTTGCTTTCTATACCTGAATGGCATACATTCAATGATCTGTCATATAACAGAATGCTGTATGAAATATAGAGCATCTTTGAATGGGCAAAGTCAGTTTGAGAAAAGTAAACTTTCAAATATAAGATTACTACATTATTTCTAAAATACAGGCAAAAAATTCTATGGAGCTACACAGGATTTAAAGATAATTTATTTCATACAGGGTTTCCTATTTCTGAAAGTACTTAAGAGTCTAAAACTCAAATATAACAAAAACATATGATAATTTTAGCAAAGCTGACTTACCAAGGGAACCAGCCTACTATAGAGCTCTCAAATACTACAGAGTTCAAATACTATAGAGCACTCTCCCTCTCAAAGAAGGAATTTTCTTAATACACTGTTATTTTATACCTGTTCTGATAACAGCTTAACTGAAGGAGGGGAGTACCCTCATAAGTAACAGCCAGAGAATGAAAGGAAGACAAATAGTTTTGTTTCAATTTTTAAATAGGATTAAAACGAAACAAACAATGAAACTCTAACGTAGTTCAAATTACATATTTTGAAATTAAAATGACCTCACACAGCCAGAAAGGTGTAGCACAGCTGAAAGTTGATAGCTGTAAACCAGAAGAAGAAATGTTGGAATATGTACAGTTAAAATCTACATAATAAAATAATCACCTTTAATATAGAAAAGCCCACCTGAGAACAGCAATTACAACAAACTTACAGAGAAGAGATTGCACTAAGACCTTAGTTGCTTGCTGTGCTAGAAGTTATAGTCATATTTGTTTAGGAATAACAATAATATAACTGATATCAGTGCATTGCTATCAGCATACACTATCATCGCAATAACTGCAAAAGACAAAAAGTAGACTAAAAAAAAGAAAAGCTCACCACTTCTTCATGCCTGCATTTTCTCACATTAATTCCATTAATCTGTTGTTAAAAAGATAAAAAGAAGACTTACTCTACATTTCATAAGTATAGATTTCATTTCACTTTTCTAGAAAAATAGAAACAAAAGAACTTGCAATTTTACTCACCTGTAGAATTGCATCTCCTATAAAGAGCAAACCTGAAAGTTCCGCTGAAAACAGAAAGCATATTTTTCACTCATTTTGTACAAAATATCCTACGTTTTGTGTACATATATTCCTATTTAATTTAATGTTTTTACACAATCTTTAAAAAAATAAACAAAAACTTAATAAAAAACTTAACACACAACTTCCAAATAAATTATTTGATTTTTTTTTTAATCCCAAAATATCAGCCTATCGATGTCACAAGGAAAGAGTCTACCCATCTCAAGTACAAGACCATGAAACATCTTTCATAACTCATTAGCACTTTTCAGGTCATTATGGTGAGGTATGGCATACTTTTCTGAACAGAAAATGACTGCAGGACTAGGTCTTATTGGCTGTGAGAGATCATTTCTTACAAACTCTGAGGAAAAAGCAACATGGAGAAGACTCCAGAGCTACTTACGAATGACAGATTCAACTTGTAAGCTTTTATCAAAGATACTTTAGATACTGTATCTTTGATAAGATTAGTGGAATATTTATGCTGAATAACACTTTATATGCTGAAGAGCTAGAAAATCAGTATATGGTACAAAATCACAAGCCAAACTGAATTTGATTTTTAAACCAAACCTATACTCAATAAATCACAAGGCAATTTACAAAATCTAATTCTACAATTGCAATTCTTAAATGTTGTGTTGTGTTACATAGCTATCTAATGCAAATACACTTTATAAATACTCAAGAAATATAACAAAGACTATTTAGGTGTCTATAAAGGAATAAATAACCCCTAACATGAGAACTAAGGGGTGTTAACAGATTATATGGGATTATTTATCTCTGGTATTCCAAAATATGACAGAAGACACCATCTAGAAAAGATTAGAATTGGACTTGATCCAAAAACTTTACTTATGTACATGAGTTATAAAATGGAACCAATATTTACATAAATTATGATAATCAAGTACATGTTTGAAGGACTGGTCTTATTACATAGATATAAAAAAGGATGCTTTTTTTTCCCTGAAATAAATATATATGTCAATAATCTTCACACTCTGAGCTTGCATATACTAACACTTCATATATGACCTAATGCGCTAGCCTAAGCACCTTGTGTGCACCACTGGTTTCAAGAATTGCATCAATTGTGACATTCTTGTTTAGAGGGCCAAAGATAGAGCAGGAGTCAACTGGGAGCAGGGCAGAATGAAGCCTGCAGAGCTTTGAGGCACAGGCTCTGGGTCAAACAGTATTTTCTGTATCAAAGATGCCTAATAGAGTCACATGGCATGACACTTTCTACACCACAGGACAGTAGTCTCCTACACAAGAGATGTCCCTCAAAGCTAGCTCTCTAAAAATCAGCAGTATTTTTATTGAAAGCAGTAATGGAGATTATATCTCAGCTAGGGACTGAGGTTAGAAATAATGCATCAGCTACTGCAGAAAAAAAATAATGACAAAAATAAAAGAAAACAGTGTGCATTTTTGTGTGCTCAATTAAACTTAAGTCTAAATTTTTTATTCTTCTTGCAGTGCTTAATAGCATTTTAATAGCTAGTGTAGGTAATATATGCCACATTATTATGTATTACATGCTTATATGTATACTGAAAAGAACAGAGTCACAAGTACAACTTCTTAAGGTTAACCTCATTGCTTTCCTTACGGGCTCATTCCATGTTACTCTAGTCTCTCTAAAACACAACTATCACATCTACCTTTCAGGGTTGGCTTTCTGTTCTCAATATGCTGACTCCTCTGTATCTCTCTTTATCTGTGTGGGTGAACATGAGTTTTTTTTTACACTAGCACCTTTTAATTCTGCAGAAGCAGCATCCTAGAACTATTGCATTACAGATAGAGGGAAATGCTTCCAAGTTTATGTTTCTAATTTTACACAAATGTACACAAATCTACACAAACATAACAGAGTTATTAAATACATTGTACTACTGTTGATTCACAACCTGCATCTCTCATCGTTGCACACATCATGAGCTGTTTAACCATTATCCATCTTCCTAGCACATATTGTATCATTCCAATAATTTCAAAACATTGCCAGTTAAAAACAATACAGAGATTCAGCACCAGCTCTGCATGCATTAAGTACAGTTAAGACCTTATGCAGAAACAGTTTTGCTATGTATGAGTTACTGCAAAGGCTTACACAGCACAGCATGTAATGCTGAAATAACACAGGGATATTATCAAGGTTTTGGCATTACCCACCGCTGTCCGAGCATTATCATACTGACCAGTATAAAAAGATATGCATTCTCTTCTTGTGTTACTGTGCTTTAACGGCCAAACATTTGATCTACTACAGCTTCCTGGTAATAATAATTTGCAAATAAAAGACACAAAATGATTAAATTTTGTTAAATTTGTTAAATATTTTCATTCTCTAAATACCTTCTTATTTCTTTCCTTAAAAATAATGCTTTACAAGAACTACTTTTTTTTAAAAAAAATCATGTTGAAGACTGTTTACAAAATATTCTGAATATAAATTCTGTACTTTTCCAGAGAATAGTTCTGAGGAAGAGAGAGATCATAATGACATGGAGAGAAATGGTACACCAATAGCATTTATTTAACGCTTCCTGAAGAATCTCAAGACTTAACGCATCTTGCTTTAAGAAGCATGTCAAAACACAGTGTACTAATCTGACACTCACCTCTTTGTTCTTTGGAAATCTTAGAAATGACCACTGGAATATTATGTTCTGCTCCACCCTGAAAATAGAATAAATGACAAACCCATCAGTCACTGGAAATATCTTTTTACTTTAAATTATATTTTACCCTTTCTCTATCTCCCATTTTCAGAGAGACTGAGAAAACAATTCTGATACTGTATTTCCTCTTTTTTTAAATTTGTTTTATTTTTTTTATAAATAACTGATGGGGATTAATTCCTTATTGTATCTCATAAAGGAGTTCTCAGTTGCCATCATCAGCTCAGGAAGTGAATTGAATGATGTTCAAAAACCTGCAGGTCTTGAAGGAAAAGGACATCAGTTTCTGTGAATTCTGGAGAGCTTAATGTATGAAATCATGTCCTATAAAAGCAAAATGGCCATCACACTACAATGGCAGCCACACTGTGAACACTTAGTTTTCATGCTGGCAAGAAACAGGTAAACAAAAGGCCAAGAAAAGCAAGTTTGGACTTTTCATCTCAAAAGCAGCTTTTATTTGTTTCTTTCTCTGTCACACAAGCACAAAGAGTGAGCGAAGCAGTGGGATAAGTAACAAGGAACAGAAAAAGAAACTTTAAGAAATGGAACAGTAGGTGTTCAATAAATGAGGAGAAATAAAGGAAAGCTGGACAGTAATTCAACAGTTCGACAGCAATTCAATGCTGTTGCTTCATTCAATTTATCCTGTTGGGACTGGAAACATTCATGGTGCTTAAGAACAAAGTATTAAAAAGAAACCTTAAATAAAAAGAAAACTCAAAGGAAGAGAAAGGCAAATATACACAGACACACAAGTATTTTTTCCTCTATAGAGAACATCAAAGTGTAAGCCTGTATGTAACCCGTACAAATTCAGATCATCAGAAATGACAGTCTACCACATGGTAATTCTGCCTAGGAATCCTGGTTAAGGGTTTGCTTACTCTTCTCTTGAGCAGCCAGATTTTTCTTTGCAAACAATGGCTTTCTTAGGTCCAGGCATCTAGTGTCGAGAGGTGAAAAGGACTGACATGGGTATTTTGATGGTCTAAGGAACAGTACATATCCTTTCTTCATGCAATGACCAATTATTTGAAACTGAACAAACTCCTGCACTCAACAGCTATTTCTGTCATGGAATAAAGATGAATTTCCTGTGAAACCCTAGAATTTTAGATAGGATTGAAGTTCCTTCTGCTAGCGGCTATCAATGCAAATGGACCTAAAAACAATGTTAACAGGGATCTCAGTAATACTACAACAATTATATGTCTACAAGAAAAGTTTTATTGGCATTATGTAAGATGAGCACTTCCAAGCACAGAAGGTATTGATATCTGTAGCATAGATGGAGTATTCACCCCACAAAGACCATGAGGCTACCTTCATTTCAGTCAGGCTTAGAGATGTATTCAGACTAAATAAATTGTACTGTTATAACTTGTTGAGTTATAATGGTTTTCACCAGAGTAAGAGCAACAGTAAAAGTTGGCTTCACTTAAGACATCAGTTGAAGCTCACTAAACTTTTAAGACACAGTCTACACCCTTCAGATTTTTCCTTAGTCACATGTACATCTAATTTCTTCTAAATTTTTCAAACAGAAAAACAATTGTGTCAGTTCTCTTCCTAAGCTTCCAATGTTACATAGAGATTGCACTATACAAGATACATGAAGCTCAGCGAAGGAGTGCAGAGTTTAAAGCTCAGCATAGCAAACAAAAGTCCTTTTTTTTTATCAGTAAAATGGTCTCCCTCCCTCCTTAGACTCAGCTCTCTGATAAAGAGGGAAATTACTGCTATTACTAAGCCAGTCTGCAATGCACACATGGTGATGTCTCTCTCATTCACTGTATCTATCTAAATCCATTTACACTGGAGATTTGAACAATGATTCAGTAATGTCCTACTGAAGAAAATTACCTCCTCTCACTGCATCCCAGTCTGGTCAATACGAAGGATTCCTTTTTAAATTAGTCATGGGAGGTGTTGCCTGCTATTCTAAGAAACAAAAATTCAAAATGGGAAAGAGAAAATAGTTGACCACTAGCTATACCCAGTCATTACTAGCAATTTGCAGCAAGCTAAAAAATCTATATACATTCTTGCAACATTTTGTTGAATCCTACTTTAGATTGACACTGCAACCTTGCATCTTGCATCCTCCATACTTGGTTCTCTGTCTTGTAGAAGAAAAAGTGTATGTGTGTCTAAACTCTGTTTTTATAGACTGAGGAGAAACTACCTCAGAAACCTCTGGAAGCAGCGGCCACATTTGCATTGTTTAAAATTTTCTCTCCATCTACTGTGGACATGTAGTTATAATCTCAGACCAGAGGAAGGAAGAAAAACATGTCAAGTTACCGATGTTGAAGTCCTAATGTCTCAGACCTCTACCAGACTCTAACATAAATCTTTGTAACACAAAATTTCTTTGTCATTTTTCCTTAAGCAGGCAAGGATGAACCTGGAATAAAGGTAGCTGCCCACCTGCAGAGTTGGTCCTGCTAGAAGAGGCTGAGGAAGCTCTAATCACTGGCAACCCTTTGAAGCTTACTGTCCTGGATGTTGGCTATTACTGGTGGGAGGTCACCCACACCTCCTTTTAAAGTGTCGCATGTTATAGTTCTAAAGATTTCTTCTTATCTCAGTTTTTATGTGTGAGGTTTTATTCTGAAGCTTTAGTCATATGAAAAATAGGGCAACTGCAACTAGTAACTTTTATTCACAAATGCTGTTTTTGTGTTAGGCTCCAAGTGCAAGAAGAAAATCACTATTTTTATTTCTAAACAGAGATAGTCTATAAAAAAAGACCAATCGTTGGTCTTAAGCATCCTCAGAGTTAGGCAATTTGGGGGACATTTTTATTTCATACTAAAAGGCAACATCTTTTCCATGAGCAAACCTGGGCTTGTTTGTTTTAAACTTAAGGTCTAGTAGCACAATATGGCTCATGTCTATGAGGATAAACTATCTTCCCAACTGAAAAAGGGTGACTTTATACATGTTACCTATTGGAAGTAGTCCATGTAAAGCTCTGAACGGTGTTCACAGACTGTCTTAGAGAACACTAGTTGGTGTAAGCTGAAACTGTGCCAGGAATCATGCTAGCAATTAAACAATAGGGACAATAATGTGTCCATAAAGTTTAAACTTTTCTTTTTGATAGAATAGCTGGAAGCAAAATGCCACTTCCAAAAGGCATTCAACACAAACTTCTGCAAGTATATAAGCCTTTAAAGATGAAAAGGTAAATTTTTAAACTAAAAGCTAGACGATTCATCTATTAATTAAAGCTGTCTAGCTTCTTTATTTTATTGTTTCAATTTGAAACACAGAGAAAATGTCAATAAAAACATATCAGAGAATCAATGAAGAACAAGAGAATAATCTAAGTATGTACGTAAGTGTGAACAGGACAGGTGTACATGCTTGCTTTAGAGATTTTTTGATCAAGTCAAACTTTGAAAGGTCAAACTGAATCTCAGCAGATCTGCAATGCTCTTCATCATTTAAAAAGAATGAAAAAAAAAAAAAGAGGAGGGAAAATGGCACTGTACAGAGTCCTGGTAGCCAAAAGTCAGACTCTAATTGCAAACTTTAATTTATTTAATTAACTATCAATTTTAATGCCTATTTCCACAAGAACTCTACACTCCAATTATTGAGAAACACGATATTCTTTTGGAAGTCATACACTTAGTAGCTTCTTGTGTCAAATCTCTGCATCTGAAACTTGTCAGAGATGTGATAAATGACTGAAATACCCAACTACGCTTATCAATTTCTACATGTAACTCCATGGCTATTTGTACACACACAGAGGTTTATTACTGAGAGTTTTAAAGGGGCTTCAGAAACTAGAAAATAATTCCTTCTGAAGAGTGTAATCCAGATCAGTTCTGCTTCAAATTCAGTCACACTTTTACCATTAACTTCAGCAAAATGAAGTATAGTAAAACACAGAACAGGGGTGTTATTATTCTTTCAAACCTGCAAACAGTTGATTATAGGCAATTTTTTAAAGATCTTGAGTTTGGATCTTGTGAAAAAATCAATCTCAAGCATTGTTTTTAAGCAGATAGCTGAATCTCTGATTTTTACAAATGTACTTGGAGCACCCAGGTTATAACACAAAAGAAGAGAGTTTCTTTCATAGACAAGTCATCAAAGGATAAGTGGACAGTTTCATTTTTGAATTATTAACATTTTGACCTTCTGCTCTTCATGAGGAAAAGAATAAATAAATTCCAATGGTCCAGAATATTACTTTTCTATTTAAAACTCATAATAAATATAAGTCCTCTATTAAAGCTCAGGAATCTTCCAAAACAAAATGAAACAAACAAAAAAAAAAGTAATGAACTGTTATCCATCTGAAAAAGGAAATATATCATGACTGAATGCTACTGTTTAAAACAGAAAACTGGCACTTTTCAGAATATTTAGAACTGACATTGATATTTCCAGGAATACTTTGAAATTTCAGTGAGCCTTCATAAAGTTTGCCTAACAAACTGCAAAAAGCATTACTTTACATTCCAGTTCTAAGTTGTTTCTTGCTACTAGCTTAAAATGATTATTTTAATACTTAAAATTAATTACTATTTATTACTTAATTGTTTTAGATTGTGTTGGCTATCCCATTGCTTGTCCCGCTTTCTTTTTGAGAATGTAGGATTACTAATAAAAGGAAGCAGCAAAATAGGTCCCAGGTTCATTGATTTTTAAAAATAAATAATTATAAAAAAATAATTCATATTGTCTGATACACATCTAAAGAATATCCAGACAACAGAATTCTACTCACCATTTTCTTTAACTAATCTATACAATCTGAGTTTGTTTCCTTTGTTGAAAGAGATCTCTTTAGTATTTTAATGACATCTGTTGAAGACATTCCATCACCTGATTATTAGCTATTAAAAAAAATTTTTTAAAATTGTCTATCCAAGTCTAAATTTATGTAGCTTCACCTTTCCACTACTTAGATGATTTTGATCAAAATATCTATGCAATAAAATAAACCTAGAAAGTATATTTAAATAAAATAATTTAATTTGAAGCCTTGATTTGTAAATTCTCTTGCAGTTGATGCTATTATTTTTCAGTTGTTTTTATTGTTATTTTTTTCCTATTAAAACAGGACCTTATTAAAAAAAATAAATAAATTCCCATTTTTGATTGAATTCACAATCTGTTTTGGCACTTTTAAATACTTTTACAACTTTCAAGACTTTTTCCAGAACAATTAATATCTTGCTCTAAAATTTTAAGAATATCTTACTCTACTAATTTAAGAAAGACCATCTGCACATTTCGCATTTAATTTATTTTTCTCAATGATATTTTATTTTATACAATGTACCTAATACTTAAATAATGATCCTGAACTTGTCAGCAATTTTAATTCTACAAGATAACCTATGTATAACTAAAACATAAATTTTAGTGGCTCTTTATGAGATATGCTTTCAAATCCTCAAAACTCCTTATTGTAACCAGTTATTAGCACCAGCTAAATAAAATCTCATTCACCCATATACTTGACTATACACTGACATGCATTACTTCATCGTTATTCAGTGAACTGTAACCTATAATGCATTGCAGGAAAATAACTGGTGCGCTGTTGACTAAACTAATGAGAAACTTTGGCCACAAAATAGCAATTAGTTTTCCTTGAATAGAAGTCCTTAGTGGGTCAATGAGATAACAGCAAGTGTACCAAGATATATTTTAAGAACTAGTATTTCCATTCAGCAATATTCTTATCAATGACAACACAAATGCACATTAATCCCTCTTCTGAGTCTCTTCTTATAAGGTCAGCACAAGTAGATGTTCACAGGAAAGTCTATGCTTTCACTTTATATGCATGATTTCAGCTTCTTTGCATTCATGTGAAGTACACTTCACTTTTTCCATTGCTACCTTGAAGCTGGACTGCTGTGTTTAGAAGATAAAATTAATGTTGTGTTGTCTACACTGAGACTTAAAGCCAAGGTAAGTTTTTCAAAATCATAGTAATACAGATTCACAGAAAGGTTATGATGACAAATATGATTAACCCTTCCTCACTCTCATCCCTTCCTCTCTCCAAAAGGAACACCTACACTTACATATGTTCTTAAATCTTACTGAAGAAAGCAAAAATATAGTAAAATGACAAACTGCTGCTGTTGCTTGACCTACAGCAAAATAAAAGATATGAGAAAGCAATAATAATTTCTGCCCTACTAAAGAATTGCAATGAATTAATGCGATATTCTTTGTAGGAGAACTGATGATGAGCTTTTTGGCTGTTCCATGTGCCTGCCTGTAATTTAGCATTCATTAATAACTACTTAAATTAGAGTGCCATTGCACAAAAGCACAGTCTGTGCAGTTGCCAACACTTTTCAACTCTCATATCAAATCTTATCACAGAGTTGCTCAACTTGAATCTTAAGAGGATGATCTTTCCATTGCCTTCCATTCCATAGGGCAGTGTAGTTTCCGGTAGCCTATTGTGACAGTATCTAACATCTTAGAATATTGTTGCTCTAGTGTTTCTAGCCCTCTAAAACATAGTTTGTTCTCATTAAAAGTAACATTAACTATATACAAAGACACTTTTTGTGTAACATGGAATAATAGACCAAAAAAATTGCCCTACCTTTATACTTAATCCAAATCCTCCTACACTTTGTCTTCTAATTGTTACCGTTCTTTCCTGGAAAAAAAAATAAATCAAGTTTTGTTAGATTTAAAGTTTTCTGCCATAACATCTATATAAGTTGTTTCTGCGCTATCCTCCTACATTGATATTTCTTATTTTAATAAATTGATGAGTTTCTGAAAGCAAAAATCCCATGAAACCTATGCTGCAAAGGAAAAAGACAAAGTCTGGAAGAAAAGCAGAGGTTCTCTCAGACAAAAATTCATTTGTTAAATTGATACCATACTGGCGATACAATAAGAACAGAACTGTAGAGTTTGTTAGTGTACAATATATGCATTTTAGAGGTCTTCAACTAGTCCTAAATTGGTCCCATATGCAGATCGAGCACTACATAAACTGCACTCCTGTAGCACATTTTCCAATGTAGTTTAATCCAAAAGGAATACAGCTCGTGAACTCCAAGACCACTTAGTGATATGAACCAAAGCATGGTAAGTGCATGTGATCCAGAAACTAATTTCAAAGCACAGTCCTGATCCAAATTAAAAAAATAATACAAACACAGACACTGTTTACCTCAGATCTATGGTTTAAAAATCGTAACGAATGTTTTAAAGTGTGTTGTTACAAATAGAATTATTTAAAGCAGCCCATTTTTTCGCTTTTATTGCTCTTCTTAAAATTTATTCTGTAAAAACCGTAGGCTAGTATCTGTCTTGGATACAAACATTTACAAAAAAGACCTTTTGCCTTGTCTGTCTTGTTGACTTTATTCCCAATGATCACCTAGTGTTAGTCAATTTTGTTAGTGGTAAAAAATCTTAGCATCAGATATAGCATATGTCCAGATACAAATATACAGAACATACAGATTTTTTAATACCCTTTGCATGTGGTCTACATTTTATGCTCATTTCATTATCTATTTCATAGCATAAATCTGCATATACATTTTATCTATATGTGTTTACATATTTCAGCACAAACGGCATAGATTGTGAGTGTCAGATTTGAATAAGTCTCTCATCAGAAGCATACCAATGACAGAGAGAATGGCATCTCTGTGGAACTATTTTTTCCTCCTCACTTCATATACAGAAAGGAAAAGAAAGGATATAAGGCTACCACATAAGATTTTTGTAAAACTGATATTGCTGAATATGGGGGAAAATCCAGTTACCTTCTTTCTTTTTCACATTTGCAACAAATATGAATTGTGTAACTGCAAAAAGAGCTAGTATAAACCAGTACAATGTTTAGGATGGCAAGATAAAATTAGACTTTCTGCTCTTTATTTAGGCTAATGCTTGTAAATGTTTAATCTATGAAAGAAGTATATAATTTTACTGTTAAATGGCCAAACACTTCAATTTAATTTTTTTTAACATTTGAAATGCATGAAAAAATATACTCTTATATTTGTAACCCATAAATGAATGTATGGTGTGGCAACAGAGGAATATGTTCCTCTGTTGCCTTTGTCATCTATGTGTTTCCGTACTGTTCAGAGGGACAGTCTTCTTGACTCTCAATTCATGTCTTCTAAGAAGGAATTTTCCTGACAAAGTTCCCAGAAAATGGGTTGAGGCCACAAAGTTATTCCACTTCAGGCCACAAACTGCACTTAGAAAACCTTTTGTCTGGCAGAAGGTTTCAGCCACAGGTAACAAATGCGTACCATATATTCAGAATAAACTAACACAGGCCACAGTCTGATGTGTGGTCTAAGCTGAGTTTATACAAATGAACATGAAACACTCAGTTGTGGCTTCACTGATAGCTGTATTTTTCTTATTAAGTCTACCTCGATTCCAGCTTCAGCTAGTGTTGAACATCTTGTTAAGAACAGAAGCTTGACTTGTAAACTCGAGTCAATACATTCTAGTATTTTTGTTATACACGCTCAGATGAAACAGAAAATACTCAAGAAGATGTTGAAAAATAACAACCTTTTAATAAACTGGCTTGATAGTATTGTGTTAACCATGAAAAGCTGTCCTGAAGAATATTTATATCCTTGTTGTTATCTTTCTTAGCACAACACACACAGAAGTACCCATATAAAAGAGTCAATAAAATATCCTTTCCGGTTATCACTTATGTGAAGGCAGAGCCAAGTCAGCCCTGAAAATACTTGATTTAGGGTCTTTGGTGAGTTTACCAGTGCTGTCTGACAGGAAACATGTAACATTTTACACTGGAGTTCAGCATTACTTTTTAAGAGAGAGAAATGAATGCTTCAGAAACACTTTGCTAGCATAGCAGATTACTAAATAGACAAAACTGTGTAAAAGTAAGCAAAGGGAATAGAAAAATTTCAAGCAACTGTAGTTTTCCAGCACAATGTAATTTATCGGAAGGTTTCATCTCTTATTTTTCTAGGTTCTGTTTCTATCTATCTCCACTGAGAGTAGATAGTAAATATTTCAGGTCTGAACTGTTAGTGAACTGAAGTGGAACTTTGAAAACACACTGCAAACTCGATCCACTCGAGTGATGTCTAACATGTAATGAAGGCATTGCATTGTATTTAACCTAAGGTAATTCAAAACATTTCTCAGTCTTAAAACAAAGAAACATTACTTCAGAACATCTTACGTGTAAAGACTTACATACTCTGCACAGCATGATAGCTAACAATTTTAAACATGCAAACAATGATCTTCAAAAATACAAATCAAAATTACATACGAGTTATATATTTCATTAGTAAACAAACAATAATCTAGTCTGTGATTGCGAACCTCATATAAATAGTACAGCGAAACAGCTTTTCCAGAACTGTCAGAAGCATCACACATTTCATACACCAGAATTTTGGCTTAGGATCAGACTTCAGCTCTGATCAGTTTCTTCCTTTTTTACCCAGAAGTTTAGAAGAAAAATCATAGAATCATAGAATGGTTAGAGTTGGAAGGGACCTCAAAGATCATCTAGTTCCAACCCCCTGCCATGGGCAGGGAAACCCTCCACTACACCAGGCTGCCCAAAGCCTCATCCAACCCAGCCTTGAACACCTCCAGGGATGGGGTATCTACAACTTCTCTGGGCAACCTGTTCCAGTGCCTCACCATCACCACCCTCAGAGTGAAGAATTTCTTTCTTATATCTAACCTAAATCTACCCTCTTTCAGTTTAAATCCATTTCCCCCTGTCATATCACTACATGCCCTTGCAAAAATTCCCCCTCCAGCTTTCCTGTAGGCCCCCTTTAAGCCCTGGAAGGCTGCAATAAGATCACCCCAGAGCCTTCGCTTCTCCAGCCTGAAGGAGATAGGACTGATCTAACCACAGTGAATCCATCTAAGACTAAGTCATTGGTCAAGACAAATTTTCTCCCGTAATCAGTAAAGAAAAAGAAATACATTCGATTCAGGTAAGTCGAGTGAGATGGCTCGTGAGTCGAGTGAGTGAGTAGATGACCAAGTTTGGAGATAATCATCTTTGTCATCTATGTCATTCATTGCGTATAGAGCCAGGATGTCAAATTTAACTTTGGAAAGATGAATCCTTCCCTTTAGAGTTGCAAAGTAACTTGAATAAGAATTTTGATGGTAAATACATGCTTAGAAATGTTTCGCCAGAAAACTCTTCTATCCAAGTAAGTTTTTCTTTGTGACTTGCATGACTTACGTGTGAGTTTTTTTTATGTCACTCACAAAAAACCCAAACAAAGCTTCATTTTCAGTATCATCTTCAACCAAGGTGAACTGAATAAACCTTGTCTACAAAGCACTGTATGTAAAATAATATTTTTATAAAATGATTAACACAATGAAGAAGTTTGATCAGGAAATTAAAGTAAATTATTTTGTTCTGATGACTTTAATTACCATTTCAAATGAACAATAACAATAATAAAATGCTTTTCACTGGTCTAATAGCTTTAAATTCTTAAAATGCTTTACAACTATTCATTAATAAAATATGGTGACAACACATTTTATTCCAGAAAAGAAGAGCTCTAAGTACCTGATTGATCATTTATGCAGTTCCAGTTTAAAGATACTGCTGCTCCATTGATTCCAACTGTATGCTTAAAATAAAATCTAACTAAAAGTCTGTGTCAGATGCACATTTATTTATTAATATTTTACTTAGTTTTGCTTTTCCCTCTATTTGCACAGGGTAGTATCCTATGACTGAATCTAGAATGTTTTTGCAAATTCTAAAAGTAACTTCATCTCCAAGTTTACAAAATAAAACTTGATTCTGATGAAAAGCTACTTAGTTCAATACCAAGACTACACAAAACATCCTGTGAGATTATAATTCCATTATCACAGTTTTTATCTACATTACACAAAACAGAGGGAAAATTAGAGCTCTTAGGATCTTTAAATGCAAGATTCAGAGCAGTGTTTTAGAAGATGCTTCCTGGAAGAGAACAAAAGTAGTTATCTTTTTATTGAAAAACTCAAAGCTGCTGCCAAACTGTCAGCATTTTCCATGCCTCTAACTCAGAAAATTCCTCATCCACACATATGTTCATTGACTGGAAAAGAGAGCTAAGAGTTTTGCCAAAAAAATTCTTCCTCAGAGCTATGCAGTGAAACAGAAGCAATGTTTTTTAGGCTTTCATTAAAGAATTATTAAAATTTCTGCTTAAAAAGCTGTATGATCTTTTTGAGATCATGGATGTCATCTTAAATGAGATCAGAAGTGAAGAATGACCTTGTGAGCACACAACAACAGTAAACAGTCAGGAAGGGAAAACAGAATCCTGTGTAATCAACTATTTACATTTAGTCGAGTTAACGTTATTTGTAACAGTTTAATCTTAGGGCACAGTAAAGATTCAAAGATTTCATACTGGCTGAAAGTTTATAATTACTTAGGTGACTTTTAGCAATAATGATTAATTAGTAATACTTTCAAATTATTTATTCTGTATAATATAAATCAGTAATCTAATAATCTGCTTCTATGAAAGCAGGGAAATAACAGTTGATAGAAGGGATGAATAACCTTCAAAACTCTTCATAAAACTGAGTTAACTGCATGCGAAACTTCAATATTTCATTGCTCAACATTTTTACTAGGATATACAT